CCCAAGAAATGTAATCTTAATAAAAGCCCACTGCCTTTATTTCCTTGGGAATACATTTTATAACATGAAATAGTTAAAGTAGTTCCTAAGTGACTCTTAAAGGAATGCCCCTTTGTGTAAAGTTGAGTAACTTTACAAAAAACTTTAGCCAAGGAAATCAAAACTACTCGAGGTCAAAAACAAGAGTGGGCTGGTGCCGCCACTCACTAGGCTAATCCTCTGCCTTGCGGCGCCGGCACACCGGGTTCTAGTCCTGGTCGGGGCACCGGATTCTGTCCCGGTTGCCCCTCTTCCAGGCCAGCTCTCTGCTGTGGCCAGGGAGTACAGTGGAGGATGGTCCAAGTACTTGGGCCCTGCACCCCATGGGAGACCAGGAGAAGCACCTGGCTCCTGCCATCGGATCAGTGCGGTGCGCCGGTCGCAGCACGCCGGCCGTGGCAGCCATTGGAGGGTGAACCAATGGCAAAGGAAGACCTTTCTCTCTGTCTCTCTCTCTCACTGTCCACTCTGCCTGTCAAAAGATTTAAAAAAAAAAAAAAAAAAAACAAGAGTACTGGGGCCAGCATTGTTGCCCAACAGGTTAAGCTACCACTTGACACCAGCATCCCGAATCAGAGTGCTGGTTTGAGTCCCAGCTACTCCGCTTCTGCTCCAGCTTCCTGCTAATGCGCCTGAGAAGGCAGTGGAGATGGGCCTCTGCCACCCATGTGGGAGACCAGGGTGGAGTTCCCAGCTCCTTGGCTTCAGCCTGGCCCAGCCCTGGCCATTGCAGCCATTTGGGGAGTGGATCAGCGGATGGAAATCCCCCCTGCCCTGTCGTTCTCTTTGCCTCCTCCTCTCTCCCTTCCTCCTTCTCTCCCTCCTCCCCTCCCTCTACTTTTCAAATAAATAAGTAGATCTTTTTAAAAAACAACACTGGTTGGATTTCATGCCTCAGTCTGCCATGTATGAACAGAAACAGACAAGTGCATTTATTGGCATATTTGCACGTTTATTCTTGAAGAATGACGATTCCTTCAGCGGAGTTCGTCTTACCTCCTTGAGACGTGCAGAGCAGTGGGAACCCGACAACCCTGGGTTTGGAAAGTGGCTTTTCCACTCAAAAGCTCCCCGACCTTGGAGTAGCACCTTTCCCTCCTAGGCCAGGCTATACGGAACACCCAGCTCAGGTCCTGAGAGTTCAGATTCTGGATCCCAACTTGCCGGGTTCAGATCCCAGCTTTGCCACTGATGAGCTGGGAAATCCTGGGCAAGTTGTTCCACCTCCCTTTATTTCCGTGTCTTTGTCTGTGAAACAGCAGGGACCAGTGGCCAGGCTCACGAGGTTGCGGACTTGCTCCTGGGAAGTAGCTACCAGTTCCCGTCGGCTGTTGTGTTGCCGCTGTCGACCCTGAGTGGGGACGATGGGCAGCATGGCTGCGGGCTCTGCCGAGAAGGCTGCACCACGTGACTGCAGGCGCCAGCGCCTGCTGAAACAGGAGCAGCGGTGAGCCTGCTGGCATCGCGCCCGCGCTCTTTCCCTCAACCTCGACCCTGTGAAAATAGCCCACAGGGAACACGCGTTCTGCAGTCCTCATCTCGCAGTATCCGTGTCACCAGGGGACATCCATCCCCTCCCCTTGGCAGCTGAGAAGCAGCAGTGACAAGTGGGTCCCAGTCACGCTGCTCCCGCCAGCCGGCTTCCACAGCACACATCTCATCTCGGCGTTTGCCTGCCGTCTTTAACATGCTCAGCCCTATCACACCGCACCCCCAGCACCCTGTCCCTGGCCTGGGCTCCGTGTGCCACACCTGCTCCTTCTCCCAACCAGGGAGACCTAGGACTCCCCGGCAGGAGACAGAAGAGGTCTGTCTGCGGCCTGCGGCACCCTGCAGGCTGTTTTCAGCAGTGGGGCCTGGGTGCTCCGGAACTGAGCTGCTCCCGTGGGCTGCCTCAGGCCCTCCCCAACTGGTAGCAGAAGGTGATGCGTGTCCAGCAGGAACAAGAAGGGTCCTGCGGGGCCGCGGGCTCTGCTTTAAAGAGCTGAGACTCACGCACCTCTCTGGGTGAGATTATTTAATGTATGAAAGGATTTTCTTCCATCAGGAAAGCTTCCCCTACAGGTTCCTTTAAATAGTGACTCCTCTAGGCAGGCAAGTGTTTTACAGATCATTAACTACTTGACTGAAAGCCTACAGGGCAGAGAAACTTAAACCTGAAGTGTTGGGAGCCCCTGCCAATTACAGATCAATCCAAAATGAAGATAAAGGATCTCCGGGACTAGAAGTCGGTAGGAAAATGTGATTCAAGTCAGAAAAAAATCTGATTTACACACAACTTTTTGGAACACACCACTTGTTTAAATGGTGTTCCACCTGTCTGCCCATCTTGAACCTACTGCAGCCATCTTCCATGTCTTCATCCCAAGCCCCAGTCTTAGGGTTCCCCTCTGTGAACAGCGCCTGCACCGTCTCCCCAGGAAAGGGCGTCATTGGGAAAATGTTCTTGTGGCTGTGCAGAGCTTAGGCGACTGATGCCAAGATACAGCCCGTAATGGATGAACTGTACTGTAACAATTTGCAGATAAAAATAATAGAAGTTAAAGTGTACTTTACATGATAAAAGAAAGATGAAAGAGGACGAGAGTCTGTTACATCTGAGATGGTTACAAAAGTCCTGCTTTGTGAGTAGGCTCTGTTGAAAAGATTGATGCAATGGGGAGTGACCTTGGCTTGGAGCAGGAGCTGGTGATGTATGTATGAGCATCCCTCTGCTAAATGGACCCAGATTTGTAGCACTAATATACATGGGAGCCCAGAACCAAACTCAGTATGGCAATAAATCAACAGCCACTTTGGGTGTCATTTCTGGTTTATATTCCACTATTGTTCTATCACTTTAATTCATGTCACTATCATCTTTTCATCTGGAACAGTTTTATATAATTTTCCAGTGGAGTTACCTGACAAATCCTATCAAATTAACAAGGTACATTAACAATATTGACTGACTACGGCTTCAGGAGTTGCAGGGCCATAGAACAAAATTTTAAAACCGTGTCTCTGGTGATGATTTTTTTTCCCCTCTCCTTCTGAGAACGGAATGCGGGGCAGGGTTTATTTCCACATGAGAGATATGCACATTTATTTTGCTCTGTTCATTTTGACTTTTATAAATGTCAAAATAAGAAGCAGAATAAGGAACACACACACACACACACACACGCCACTAACAACCATGGCTTAAGTACTTTCCTTCTTTCCGGCAACTATGGAAGTGTCCAGATCTTTAACAATTAATGACCAAATTGGAGGCAAGAGTGTAAGTGGGTGGTCATAATCTATTTGAAGTGAAATGTAATAAAATCGATCGCCAGCAACATTCTTGCCCTCCTGAAATCATCTAGACCTGGGATGTAGAGTCACTCAGACTTGGGACATTGTACCTAATTGAAATATGATGTTCCTGGAAAATATCTGACGACAAGACCCAGTGTCTGATTAATTAGAAAATACCAATTGTTCATCTTTACCAAAGACCACACAGTCACAGCCGGGACTAAGCAACCATCACTGCTTTGTCTCCTGGAGACAGCGGAGGGCTCCCTCCTGTAGTCTGGCTCTGCAGTCTCCTGCCTTTGTCTAACTGGCACGGGGGCCTTGTCATAGAATACAATTGGAGTGTGTGGCACACGAACCCATCAGGATTCTGTTTGTGTGTGTTGTCTTTTAAGTTTCTTGTCAGCCTGTGATTTGTGTGTGTGTGTTGGTTTTAGGGCTTGGGGGGTTTTAATTGAGCCGTTTGTTTTATTTGCTGCTTCTTTCAGCTTGCTACATTTTCTCAAATTTTGTCCAGAGATTTCTAAGTGTGACCCGTAGGATGAGTTCTGTTAACTTTAGTTGTCTTTTCTGTTGCAGAATGTGCATTTGATTATCTTAATTATTTCCTATATGTTTACTTCATTTTGCTTTTTAATCCCTTTGACCCTGCCCTTTAAACTGTGGCCTAAAATTAATTACTTCTAAGATTCCATATGGGGCCCACTGTAGAAGGTATATTAAAGGCTTTTGTCTCACTTCATGAACAAATTCCTCAATTTTCAGTGAGTGAAGAAAAACCATGCATTTAGCCTCGGTCATGTGTGCCAGGTGGAGCGCGTGCGCCTCTGCCGTACTGGGAGAGCCTCTGCTGTGCGCTTCCGCGTGTACCCCAGGGGACACCTGCCGAGCCGGGTGTCACCTTTGTTCCCAGCCTTTGTACAGCGTGTTGCAGCTTCCAAGGCTCTGAAAGTGAGGCTGGAAGTGCCAGCATCTTGCGCTCTGGATTCCTGTTCTAAGACCTTTGTTGCATGGAGCTCCCACCCGGTGCTGTCTCCCCCTAGCAGACAAGCATCGACCTCTCAGCCTGAAGCCAGGCTCCAAGACTTGAACTTGGAAGGCTGTGTGTAAAGAACATCCTCCTGTGACTTTGATCCTCCTGTGACTTCCTTTAAATGTAGCTTGGGTAATTATTTACTATCACGGAAGGAGAGACCAGGTTGTTTTTTTCCTGTTTTTAATGTGTAAAGCCTTCCTGGATCCGAGCCTCCCTGGTGGTCGCCTCGCTGTATAGGTGTAGGTAGTGTAACCGATTCATCTCTGCACCCCAGATCTTCCGGAGACAGGAACACTGATCAGCACTGTTTTAAATGACCTTGTGTTATAATTGATTCCATGACAGTATGGAGGTCAGGACAGTATGTGGGTGAATTCTGTGTTGTGTCTGTTCTATTGAAGAAGATGTGGCTCTTACTATCTGTCCACGGAGCTCAGAGTCGCCCCTCTTCCCACCCGAGAAACCAGACTGTGCCACTCCTCCATGCCGTTTGGAGGCTCCTTCTGTCTGTCTTTAAAAGCCTGTGGCACTCCCCAGAACCCCAAGAAAGAGCTCGTGTTATCCAATCTAGGATTTATAAAGCAGTTCGAATGATTATACTTTCTACTTCTCGTGGCTTCTTTTTGTGCTCCCCTTGGCCTTACAGGTATCTCTGGAGACAAAGTAGAGATAGACCCCGTTACGAACCAGAAGGCCAGCACTAAGTTTTGGATTAAGCAGAAACCCATCTCAATCGATTCTGACCTGCTCTGTGCCTGTGACCTTGCTGAAGAGAAAAGCCCCAGTGAGTAGTCCTTTTATTCATGTCTCCTTTCTCTCGTCCCCTCTCTTCCCCTCTGTGTGCTGGGTGCCAGCAGAATATATTGCCACCGTGTCCTTTTTTCCTTGGGTCTCTTTAATTCATTACCAGAAATTTCTTTTAATCAGACAGGATTGTATTACGGCGCCCAGAGCCTGACGTGAGCCTTCTTCCTAGTCGGTCCTCGCAGCCCAGCTCCTGACCTCAGCAGGCCCCGCCCTGGGGTCTGGGGGCACCAGGGCAGTTCCTGCTGGGAATTCGCACTCGCCAGCCCCGCATTTCACTTCGTGTTCCCCTCCCCTTCCCATGCGGGGTACTTGTCCAGCCGGACCTGGGCCTGCGTTCCCCACCAGATGGACGAAGCTGGGGGATTTCGCACGGCGCTGAAGGCTGGATTTAGATATCCATCATGACGGAGGTGTCAGCACCCCCACGTTATTGGCAGCTGCATGACCCACCAGCTCATAATTAAACTCCCGCCTGGTCCTGCAGGAGCGAGCGCTGCTGGGCTGGCGTTCCTCCGCCTAAATTATCAAAGTAGATCCGTCCGGTTGTATATTGTGGCATATTATATTTTTGCAGTTAAGTAATTGAGTATAGCGTTTAGATTAATCACTTAATCATTTTTAGGACTCCAGTCCTATCAAGGAGCAGAAAGGACACATCGATCACACGGAAATCCATCCACGGAGAAGGGTGTAAACCACACAGGGGCATAGTTGCCTGGAGAAGGCTGGCAGACAGAGGTTCTCCAACTCTAGGACTTGCAGCGCCACCTGCGGAGCCTGTTTAAAATGCGCTTGCACGTGGCCCCTGCCCCAGTACATTCCAATTCAGTAATTTGCAGTATGGACTCAGTGTGGACTCTATGTTCCAGTGTCCACTAACTTTGAGAACAAATCTATTATAAGGAATTACATACTTAAACGAGGCAATAAGAAATGTGAAGACCAGCAAGTGTTTATAATAGATAATACTGACTAAACGGCCTCCCACGCACACCCAGAGCACTGAGCCCATGAGGGCTTACAGATAGGCATGTGCCTCAGGGCCCCACCTCTGGGCAGGTGTCTGATTTTTTGTGGGATCTGTGCGAGGCTACAGCTCGGCCAGTAGGGGGAACGTTGTAGGGCACAGGGAAAGGAGAAGGGCTGTGCTCACCCTCTTCCCACCACCCCCGCCCTCCCAGCGAGGCCGCCAGCCGCAGGATGCCGGGTGAGAAGATCACCTGCTGCGCTGTGGGCCTGGCCCAAGACTGCTGAGCCCTCCACCCTGGGCTCAACCTCGTCTTCCTAATCCCTCTCACTCCAGCCTACCCGCTGATAGAGATGTCACGCTGCTGGCATCTTCCTGTCCAAGAACGGAGGCGGCTTTGAAAAGGAACGCTCTGCAAACTCTTCATGTCTCTGAAAAGAAAGGCGCAGGGGTGAGCTGGAGTGGACAGGTCAGGGAGAGAAGCAGGCTCATACCACTGACGGTGCCAAGGAGGGCTGAGGTGGGGGCACCAAGAGTGCCGAGGAAACCCGCGGCCCAGTCAGGAGGAGGAGGAGAGCCCCAGCCAGGTCCCCGCGCACGGGGGACGCAGGGCAGGCAGGCCCTCCCCTCCTCCCCACCACGCCCCCCGTTTCAGTGGTGACAGTCTAGTAAGGGCCTGTTGTCTTATTTTCAGATGTTCCAGATGGTTCTCTGTGGGTCCTACAGGTTTCCTTCTGTCTTTGTGGCTTCACGATCTAGAAATTGTGGCATTTTCCTAAACGGGCTCGCTGTCCCTATAAAACATTTCTCACGGCCCTGTTCCCTATAGCTTTGCTTTCAGGCAGGTTTCTTGGAGTGCGAGTGTTCTTAGAGGACCTCAGGGCCATGTGTGGGTGTCACTGTGGGTGTGGGACAGGATTGGGCATAAGGCCTCCCCTTCAAAGGAACTGTATGTTTTCCTTTCAGAGACACCGGATTTTGAAAGTCTGTTGATTGCAAAGGTCTTACTGCTTAAAAAAAAAGGAAAGACTTGCAAGTTACAGGCTTAGGGAATGAAATTCAGCTCCTGGGCGTAGCCTTCGCGGACGACGCCCAGCCGATGCTGTGGCCTTGTCGCCTGCAGTTTCCCACGCGGAGTCTGGCTCTGGTCTCGGTGAACAACATGCATTCTCGTGTTGCGTGCTCCTGCTCTTCCCACCTCCTGGCGTGCACCCTGCACCCTGCCCCTCCCTCTGGCTTACAGACATTTCCGCCTTCCCACACTCAGCCCCCGAACTTCAAACCCAGCTCCATGTGGGCCTCGCTCTGTTAACTGTGCCCCCCACACACACACACTGTATGAGGCATTTCAGAGAGCTCGTAGAGAAATGAAATTTTAAAATGAGTTTATTTTGATGTAAAAGAATTTGAAATCCATGCATAGTTGTTTGATAGTGTCCATTTTCCACAGCTTTTTGAAAACCCCTCATAGTTACTGTGTGGGGTGCCTCTCTCTGCGAAGCTGACGGGGGCTGCTTGCCTCTGTCTCCTCTGCCCTGGCCCAGGGCAGACAGAGCTGTCCTCAGTGGGTGTTGACTCGAGACTGAACCTCAGGGAGGCCAGCATTCAGGAACCCAGAGTCGTTTGACATAATTTATATTGTGGAGTGCCCAAACAAAAATGTATTAAGTGACCTGGATTGATGCTATGTGTTCATAGGATTTCCAGCATCTTCATCAAATTAATTCAGTGACTTAATCTTAAAAAGCTCATTCCCAGACCATCACCCAACCGCAGAATTAATCCATGGGGTGGCGGCGTTTTCTTCCTTTCTCTCTCTCTCTCTTTCTTTTTTAAAGGATTAATGGTAACCCTTTTTATCTTTTGTGTCTGTTGAACCTTAGAAAAAAGTTATTTTAACAGCACTAAAGAAATGAAAGTCACTATATTTCATAAGTTTAGCCTGTGATTTTTATCAGCATAGTGATGTATGTTTGTAGCTGAGTTTACATCAAAAATTATTCTTAGGGCCTTCTTGAATGAATTATAGCAAAGAGAGAGAGTCTAGAAGTAGATAAGGTTTTTGATTTCTGCAATATATTTCCTTTTTCATGTTTTTATCTCTCATAACACAAGTGTCTTGCCAAAGACTGGAACGTGTGACCAACTAGAATAATTTAGCTGTGCAGACAGAGAAGACGTGTTATTAAACAGCCTTACAGAAAGACAGTAAGTGTTGGGAGGATAATGAAGTTGTCCCTAGTCTTACTTGAGACATGTTTGTCAGAATTTTGAACAGAAAAGAAACGGTTTTTAAAACCTTCGAATATGGCCAGTTTGCAGTGTTTATTGAGAAAGCCACTGTCAGACCATTAATTTGGTCGTCATAAGAAACACAACTCAAGTTTAATTGATGCCATATCCCAAAAGTGTGTGAATAGCTGACTTGGCAGAGGGACTGGGCTTCAGGACGGCTGCGGGGAAACACATAATTACGATCTTGTGCACGCAGGAAGGCCCAGCCTCTGCTGCCGCACTCCATAAAGAGGCGCCGTGCTCGCTCGCCCCTGCCCGCCACTTCTCCCGCTCAGCCTCTCAGGCCCCGTCCTCAGAGGCAAGATTTATTGCTGTGTCCGTGAGTGTTTAAGGACCTGGAACTTAATGACTAAATAGATACATGCCTTTACAAAAAAATAAAAAGTACATAGAAATATGGACTCTTAAAAGAGTTCCTTGAGAAAAATCTGTGCCTCGCAAGCTCTGGAAAATTAGGACTAATTTCTGCCTTTCTAGATTTAAAAGAAGAAGAAGAAAAGCACACAGCCATTATTATTCAGATCAGTGAGTTCTCAGCCTGGCTTGCCTATCCTTAGGATACCTTTTGCTGTTTTTGACAGGTGTCACCAACCTCTAAAAGAAGTAATTTTAATTTTCATTGATCAAGTTTGTGTACAGCACATAGGAGAGGAAAATGTTTGCACGTCAGAAACTACCCTGGTTAGACTGCCTTGGAGAAGTAGTTGTCGACCCCTAGATGTGTCCAGCCCCCGGCTTCAATGCCAGGGGCTCTCTTTGTAGGGGCAAGCCTGGAATTCCGGCTCAGAAACAAAGCAGGGGACCTCGCGGTGAAGCGGGCACCAGACACAGCCCTGCCAGGTCTGGTTTCTTCAGAACCAGGTTGTGCAGGTTTAGAGTCTTTAAAGGAAGCAGCCTGTCATTAAGAAATCAGATTTAAACCTTAATAAAGTAGCTGTCGTCTTTATAACTGAAAAGAGCTCTGTATCTCAATTAGGTATAGAGAATATAAAATCTTAAGGAAGCAGCATAATAGAGGTAACCTGATTATGTTCTCTTGCAACAGTATAATTTAAAGGAAGTCGGATTCCGCTGATGCTTGTTATGTTGGGGGGGGGGGGTGTTTTGTTTTCTTTTGTTTTGCCCACGACACTGTTTGGGTACAAGATAGGGCTGCGGGTTAACCACAACTGCAGGAGTCTGTTAAACCCTGGTGACTAGAACCTGCGGGATGCCTGAGATGAGATTTAGAGAAGACCATGACTTAAATTAGCTGGGGTTGTTGGTGACCTCCCACTTAAATGAATCTTTCTTTTCATAAGTACTTGACAAGATCCGTAAAGTAGTGTATTTAATTTACTAATTAAATTAAAGCTCCTGAATGATGATTTGTCCACATTGATTTAGCTTAAATAGAAAAGATCAGCATTGTTGTGATCTTCAGCAACCTTAATGGCCAAGCCAGTTAGACACAAAGGCCTCCTGTGCTTTATAGGTCAGGAGAACGTAGGTGAGCGCAGGCTGTAATTGAATTGCCTGCGCTGCACCCTGCAGTCGCACATTTCCTTTGCCTTCCCGTTCCATTGTTGCACTGGGGCTTAAGAGAACGTTAACGCGGTAATAGGCACAGGGCCTTCCCCATTATACGTCTTGCTATCGAGCGGTTCTGCATGACTAGTTAAAGAAGATGGCAAGAAGATTAATGAAAGCAAGGCTAATACAGAAGGGGGTACTTT